TGTTTTACTAACAAGTTTCTAAAGATGTTATGAATTGTTTCAGGTACCTGGATTTCACAATCCGAGACCAGCTACATTTAAGAAGATCTTGCTCACACACTTCAGACAAGGGACTCGCCGGATGATGAACAATGCTCCCGATATCAACCAACAGATTCACCTCAGAAAGTGATGATTCTGAATGAATAATGCCACATCAGTGTTACTGTAGGTGGTTTCATTATGACACTAATGAAGTCTGAATGAATTTATGCCAAAGCACTGTGACTATGTCCAGGTTGTGTACACTGATGCAGACTATACAAATCTGAATGACTTTTGTGGTCTACTGCAGAAACATAATTGACTTTAGATATTCTTCTTCAATGAAATTCTTCTGAGATTTGACTAATTTGTTTATTTAGAAAATGGCATTGAAGCGTCTGTTCTGTAAGGCCTTGCAAACACCACTGGTTACTTTATGCTAGCTCCTCTTCTAGCTTGATCAAATTTCAATTTGTGATATGTACCAATGAAATGCCATATAATCAATAAATAAGATTTTTTCCAAAAACATTATTTGTTTTGCTTCATTAGCATAAAGAAATATAATACTGATCAGCCATAACATAGGTGCTGAACAAATATAAAATGTCCTAATGCCCTGAATGTTTTCCTACTATAAATACAGCTCACTTAATAAAAGTTGTAGTTCCACCTTAGTAGACAAATGACATTGATATTTTTTCTGTACTTTATTTAGGTGTTTTCTATGGATGCCATTAGTCTTATGCACCAAATTGGGACAATTGTATTCTGTTTCATATTCCCATGAAACTACACTGTCCCGATATAACAAGTACTGATACCATTCCAAACTAATCTTTTAATCTCACCAGGGCCACATGCCAAAGCACATAGCCAATGACTTTCCATTTTTTTCTGAGTGAGAATGCTGTTTTGCCACTTTGAGCAATATTGCAACAATACCATGGTGGGAGACACCAGCAATAAGCTTCACACATTTGTACCCATGTCGCGAAACAACTTGTGAACAATGCATGCCCACATACCTCAGTTTGAGGAGGATATTTACAGCTAAAATAACACAGAATATTACAAGAGCTATCGGTAATGCACAGGGTAACATTATTTACCAGAAACAAGACATGAAGAAAATTTGCATCCGGATACCTCCCGGAAACCTTCCAGATGCCTTCAGCAACCTTCAAATGGGTTGGTATTTTAAAGATAACTTTTGTATGAGTTTCACGCTTAAGTGAACAAAATGCACCCCCAAAATTTTGACATTTTTTGGAAGGTTTCCGGAAGGTATCCGGGCCGGATCCAAAATGGGAAGGTATCCGGAAGGTTTCCGGAAGACGGAAACCTACACTTTTTTGGCTGTGACCCATCTTACCACCCGTCTAGGCGAAGTAAGGGTCAAAGTGGTGTATTGGGCAAAGGAACACAATTCCTGGATCCAGTGCTCTCAACCACCAGACTCCCGTCCTCCGCCGACACAGGGACGCAACCCACGGCAAACGGGCTGCCCACTTTGGTTGCCTTTTACGACCAGCAATGGGTCGCTGTGGAAATATTCTGCCCCTGTAACGCGATCTGAGACACTATAAAGTGGTATGTAGGTAGATAAAATACTGAGCTATAGATGTGATCCATTCATGGTACATCTGTGAGGTTCATTTGAAAGCCCGGACCAAGTCGGAACGAACACTTCTGAGATAGATTTTCTTAAGAAAATACAGTAAAAGAGTTTGACTTTAACGGTGCAGTTTTCTTTAAATGCGATATACTATGGCATTATAAAGTGGTATATAGGTAGATATAACACCGATCTATAGATGTAAACACATTTGAAGATACATCTGTGTGTTTAAAGTTGATTTTGACAGCCCGGGCCAAGTCGGACCCAACATAAGCCAATAAGTTCTGATAGAGACTATGTTTAGAATGTAGAGGGAAAATAGTTTCACTTTGAGCTCCTTGTTTTCTTTAAATACCGCGATCTAAGACGCTATAAAGTGGTATTTATTTGTTTAGATATAATACTAATCTATAGGTGTGAATCCATTTCATGTTACATCTGTGAGGTTTAAGTTGATTTTGACAGCCTGGTCCGAGTCAGACCGAACACTTGTGAAACTGTTGAGAGTATGAGGAGCAGAGGTCTACTTCAACCAACGTGTCTGCTTTAAATACGATGAACAGTGACATTATAAAGTGGTATTTATTTAGATATAGTACGTTCCTATAAATATAAACGCTACGCCGACAGATGAAAATTTGTATCATGATAGCTAGAAGTATTTGGTACGTTTCAAATCTTATTTCGTTTAACGATTACCTAGACCAGCGACGCTTACACACAGCACTGGTTTTCAAGTGATTTACTCCGAAATACTTAATTATGGGGCCCGTTTTTGTTGGTGGTTGTTCAGTAATGTCATGTGTGTATGTTGCATCAATAATATGTAGGTATGATCGCTGACAATAATGTAATTAGCCAATAACACTTTGGCCCGTCTTGGCCCGGCCCGACCTGACTTTTAGGCGATGCCGACTTTTAGGCAATGCTGTCTTCGTTGAGTCAAGTGAAGGATACGAAAATAAAGTATGTTCAGATTCATAAAGAGGAAGAAGCGGTCTATTTGAAAACAGCATCATGACGTTATCAACGAAAAGGTGAATTATTACCTGATTACAAACATATAACCACATAGAAAGGGATACTTATTAACTACAGTAATTATCGTACATGACCATGCGACTGCATATGTGAGACGTGAGACGGGTAATGGCGGGTGACAGTCAGTTAACAAAAGTTGACATTTGTGATAAGAATAATGTGAACATAAGAGTCACGTCGTGAACATAAGAGTCACGTCGAAGTTGCCTACTAGTAAGAAGGATCAAAACCATTCACGAGTCGTACCGTTCGGATTTCGATCAAGCTCGAGATGTAACATTATCCCCTAATTCGACAAGGATGGAAACTGGACTTTTATAGTCAGTTAACGCCCATGCCAGGGAATATGGTCATCGCTTGACACTGGCCATGGTGTATTTTCCTATGGTTTCACATAAAGACAAAGAGACATCAGTTAAGATAAGACTTTATTATCCTAAGGGAAATTCATATTGCACAGTTGCTTTGCACAAAAAAATGAAAAAAAAGAAAATATGTTATAATGAAATATGATACTTACTTATATCTTGGCGGGTAAAAATGTGTAGAGAATTGAACACTATCACAGTGACGACAAGGAATGGTATTTTTAAGTATGTATCATCATCATTCTCAGGCCAACGTACAATTAATACAATGATAGTATCTCGAACACGAGTGCAATTATGTACAAATGTGAAGATAGTAGATTGATGGCATCTTAAATGTAATCTGCTAAATGTTTAAGAAAGCATATATCGCAGGACTGCAGCATTGTTATCAAAGTATACCTTGGGTTAACATAAGTATGGACATTGAAAAATGGGAAATATTTTGAACGAAGACTAAGAAAAAGTTATATTCTTGATATTTGAAACCCATGTTTTCTCCCGACGGCATATAGTTCAACTAACATATCATAACACCGTCTGGTATATCTGCCTCGAGACATACTGAGGAGTTTAAAACAGTATTTCACACATCTAGTGAAAATATCAATACCATAACGACCACATTCCCCTAACACTGCAACGTTTGCAGCCTTTCAACCAACTCCGAAACAAATTTAGAAAACTAAGCTAAAACACGTTTGAGAAACACCTGTTAATTAGGATCCAAGATCTCTGATCCATAAATATTCGGTTTAATCTGAAGGTCAAACAATACCTTTGGAGAAATATTTCACAGTTTATAATTTAGCTTCACTAGCTTTGGACACAATTGTCTGACCAGCTTTCGACCAACACAATCAATTTGGATAAATAATTCCTAAATAGTTATAATTATATAAGTCAATTATTGTTCACCCGAAAAAACATAGGAACATATGGTACAAGTCAAAATAGGGAATTGGACATCATTTTTGTCACTGATGCGTCAATATCGAAAATGTTCTCCACATGTCTGCAATAAAACGTTTTGAAAGCATTACTGATTACTTGAAAATTGTAACTGGGCATAACTGGTAAGAGTTGAAAGCGCTAGCCAATTAAAACAGTGTTAATCTTACTCCACTAATATAATCTTGATTATAATTATTCACTGTGTATGCGTGCATTCGTGTGTGCGCGCGCGTGTGTGTATGAGTGAGTGAGCTTGGTTTTATGCCGCTTTTAGCAATATTCCAGCAATATCACCATGGGGAACACCAGAAATGGGCTTCCGTGACGAGCGGTGTGTGTATGCGATACAATATTTGTCAAATAGTGTGGTAAATATTTTTTTGTATTCTATGGTTTACATTCTAGTTTTACTGTTTTAGTGGCTTCTCAAAACCTCAAACTCCTTTATGTACACTTCAGTGTATTTTACTGTACAATGGCTTCGTCTTCTATTTATTGACATATCCGTTTGAAGTCCCCAATGTATGGAAAATGAGGCCATAAACGTTGTAAATCAAGGCGTCGTAATCACTATTCTTGGTGTATTTTATGAATAGACTTTAGACACTTTTCATGTAAAATGAAAAAATAAAAACGTTTGAAGTCACGATTGTACAGCAAGAAAGACTTTAATAAACACTGTCTCCTTACGAAATGATTCCACTCATTATTATAGCGAAATGTCTAACGTTTGTGCGAGATTTCATGGCGCTTTAACAGGGAAAAGATTTTACTTTTGACGTCAAACCAACATAGAAACACAGTGACTTTGTATTCCCAGTTACTTTCAGCTTTTTAGTTTACTGTTAACTTTTGGACTTTTAACAGAGCCGTTACACATAGAGTACGGCGCTTTACATACTGCAGCAGTACCTGATTTCTTACAATATGAAGTTGAAAGTATACATAGTGGAAAGTGAATTGACAAATATACATCATATGATATACCCTACCTTGTTTTGGAACGTCAACCTGGCTTCGTGACGGCGGCTAAGCAGTCTATCCTGTTCATGAGATCCTGCATTATATATACGTTAAAATTAGGTTCGTCAACAGATGTGCATATAATCGAAACTTTTCATTTGTTTAGCGTGAATTTGAGTGACGTGCGAAGAAGATGGGAGCCAGTCGATTTTTGAGGGGGCGGTTCAATTCTGACTCGCAAACAACTGCCAGGGAATGCTACCACATCTATACTGCCCCAGTTGTGTGAAGGTGATGCAGGATTATGACTAAAAGGAACATCAGAAAGAAACAGAAACTACAGTTAGTATGATTTACGCTAACACGAATATATGTGACAGCCCTGACACCTCTGATACCCGGCCCCCGAACGAGACACTACATCTGATAAGATGAGCACGGGAGACTGTTACCCTTATTTAGCAGTTTTTAACATCCTTGTTTAGCTCGTCGGATACTATCCCAGTCGCCCCAGGCTGTTGAAAACTCTTCGAATGCTTTGTCACAAGAAAAATACGTACATCTGCTGTCTGTGTGGAGTAATCAGATCATCAAACTGTCCCTACTCGATAATACTATGTCAGTCATACTCTCTGTACTCTCTCTTTGACCACCTGACTCATGCAAAAGCGCCTATGAGCAGATCCAATCTTGAAATTGGCGTGATATAATTTTTTATCATATAATGGGAAGGTTTCTTGGCAAGATATAGCCAAACGGATAAAAACGATATCAGTTGGGGTCATATGCAGATAGAGATACAAATATCAAAGATCAAGTAGGGACAACTTTCAGTGTTTATATACAAACACGGCGTCGCCCTTGTCATTCGGCAATCGAGTCAGAATTAACCATCGGGAATCTGGATAAACTACAGAGATAATTGCTATCATTATCAAAAGAACAGTCTAATATACTTAAAATCAGTGTCTAGCTGTGACGTAGCTAAGGCATTTTATAAGTTTTGGCAACTTTGGAGATATAAATTTTGAAACAATTTTGCGAGGGCACTAGGCCTAGCCAAGCGGGACCAGTAGCCATATCTGTGCTTGTAGACCTCTGCGGCTTGAAACCTTTCCCACAAATTAAAATATACTGAGTCAAATTAAAAACTTCACATTTTTAAAAGTAATCCCAAGCACGAGAACCTGATGACACACAAGTTCAGTAGCGTTTATGGCCACCATGTGCGTTGACAACTGCCACACAACGCCTCCGCATGGACCTTGTGATGCTTGTGAACACATGATGGGGAAGACGACGCCATTGTTGCTGCAAAATGGTGCCAAGATCTTGCAAATTCTGTTGTTGGTTCTGGAGAGTGTGCAGACTTCTGCCAAGAGTAGCCCAGACGTGTTCGATGGGATTGAGGTCGGGAGACCTTGACGGCCAGTCCATGACGTTGACTCCCGCATTCTGAAGGAAATTCCTTGTCAAATTTCTGTGTGGGGTTTGGCATTGTCGTGTTGGAAGATCAAACCGGGTCCATGCGCTGCCATAAACTGCAAAGTTCTGGTGCCAGAACCTGGTCGCGGTAAGCAGCAGCTTTGAGGTTGCCATGGATGACAAGAAGCCTGGAACGTGCATTGCCACAGAAAGCACCCCACACCATGACACTTCCGCCTAGAAATCTGTCAACTTCCTGTACACAACATTGGGCGTATCGTTCATGACGGCGCCTCCACACCTTCGCCCTACCATCAGCAAGTCGAAGATTAAATCGGGATTCATCACTGAAGACGACTTGATTCCAAGACCATCGTAAGTGTCGCTGTGCCCACAATTGACGTTGACGTCTGTGTAATTGAGTCAGAATCGGCCCGCAGTATGGCCGTAGTACTTGAAGGTGAGCAGTTCTCAGACTGTTTCGAACAGTTTGCGCACTCAGTCTTACCCTAAACAGTTCATTTCTGGTTGATGTAGCCGTCAAAAATCGGTTACGGGGGTGACGTAAGACAATCTGACGATCCTCTGCATGTGACGTCACACGTGGTCGACCTGGCCGAGGGCGATCAGCACTGGTACCCATTTGCTGTAGACGCGTCTGTAAATCATAAACAGTCCGTCGACTACAACCCATCGTCCTTGCGACTTCAGCTACGGACGTTCCCGTCTGCAACATGCCGATTGCACGTTCACGTTGCACATTTGAAAGGTGTGGCATGAAAAATGGCCGTAAAGACTTCTGTTTTCTTGTGTTTTTCTTTTTTGTTAATGCCTGCTTACAAGTATGGCTGAAAACACGTGCGGTATTATGGCCACGTGACCAGTTGCACCTGAAAAACAACTTTTGCCACTATAGTGCTGTGCACATGATTTTGATCGATTTACCTGCACAAAAACGGGTGTTATCTGAACACAATACGTGGCCATTACTGTTTAAATACACAACAAGGGCCCACAATGATAACTGGTCAAAATGTTAAAATTTTAGGATTGTGAAGTTTTTAATTTGGTTCAGTATATATCCTGGTCCTCCGAATTGTACCATATTTACTGCATGTAATAGATGTCTATTTTCTACAACATTTCTAAGTAGCTTATCCCGTGCTGTTAGATTGCCCTTACAAACATCAGCATTTAAATCGCCCAAGATAAAAACTGTTCCTAATTCACACAGATTATCATATATATCAATCAGTTAATCAAGGGCATTGCAGTATAAAGAGTTTAAAACATTTGTAGATGGTAGTCGACTGGCTATTACATCAACATCACAGTAGCCTGTTTGTGACAATTTAACACTTATTGCATAATCCGAGCTTATTGCTATTGGAATAGCTTTCCACTTCGTGTGTGGTCAACAGAAATAGTACAAGTGCAATAGACAGGCAAAGAACACTAATTCATTTACGATAGTTTTATTTAGTTTCAAGCAACAATTACAGACAACAATTACTATTGTACTTCAATTGACATTTACAAAGTTTCTGAATTCTCAAATTTCTATTATAACCACAATTACCAAATGACTCGCGTGTCGAACGATGTTGCCTATCCTAACTCTAAAGCCAATCTGAATAACAACGACACATGGTGGTCGACACCTGGCGCACATGCATGCTTTTTTCATGCTTTTAGATATGTATCCACGAAGTAAAGCAGTGTGTGCGTGAACTGTTTTCACACACAGGAACGAAACAGAACTACCTGTTCGGAAACATTACATACTCACAGCAATACAATATGTGATGACAATATCCTTATGTCCATATCCCCCTCCTTGATAAAGTCTGTCAACACAAAATAGTAACCAACTTTCCACAATCGAAATAATATCCTCGATCACATCCACAATCGTATCTTTTTGGTCAAGGTTCTGTCACAAAATTGTATATCTCACATTAGATAGATTCTCATGTTAAATCCATCAATCTCACAAATGTTCACATTTCGAATGTCAGAATAGAATCCATAGAATCCTGTGTTGTCCTTTTGTTCAGTGACATCTGGTACTTTATCAGCTAATGCTGTCCGTTTCAAGAGGGCACACTTTCGTCACTGGTCTAGTTGTGTGAGTGTGTTAAAATTTAACGTCGCATTGGCATTATTTCAGCCAATATTTGTGCAATTTGAGCGCCGTGCTGGCCAACGTTTTTTTCTGACGACATACACCAGAAAAAACATCGCCAAAATGCAATGGCCAGCAATGAGTGCTGACCGTTCCGCCATAAGACATGGCTTGATCGGGAGACTTCAAAGGCCACTCACGGCGTTAGCCTAGTTGGACCAGTCGCTGCAAGGGGAGTGTATACTTAGTGAGGTGAAATTGGGTTTAACGTCGCATCCAAGATAATTGCACTGATATAGTGACGTGCATGCACGTGTATGTATGTGTGTGTGTACTAGTCCGGACTGATGCCGATTGATAGTGCTAGCTCACTGAGATACCATTTCGCAGTTTAACATCAGACACAGTATACTGACTCCGAGCCGACCAGTCCCTGTTTTAGCCCCTTAAAGCCGAGCAACAGACAGGGTAACAACAATTACAATCTTTAAACGTCTTTTTGTATGACGCGGCAAGGGATCGAACCCCGGACCTTCCGCTCTCCAGGCGGGCGCTAGATCACGGAGGCGGTCTTATATACTTAGTAATGATTGTTAACTTGACATGGGGTCACGCGCGCCCACACATACATGTGTGGCTATTACCGATTTGGGGGACGCCGCATCCCAATTTCGTGTTGTAATGCGTTTATGCCCCTCTTGACCGCCTCCGTGGTCTAGTGGTAGAGCGTCCGCCCGGAGGTCAGGATTAGACCCTCGGCCGCGTCATACCAATAGACGTTAAAAGATGGCCCTTGTTGTTACCCTGTCTGGCGCTCGGGATAAAGGGGTTAAAACAAGGACTGGTCGGCTCGGAGTATACTGTGACTCAGTGGGGTATTCATGTTAAACTGCGGAATGGTATCTCAGTGGGCTAGCACTATAAATCGGCATCAGTCCAGACTAGTACATTTGGTTGGGTGGTTGGTTGTTTTACGCCACACTCAGCAATATCCCTGCTATATGACGGCGGCCGGACTTGTACAAGCAGCCATACACACACGTGCATGTACGTCGCTATATAAGTGCAAAAATCTTGGACGCAACGACATTGGCTCGTCATCAAGGCTAGACTGTTCCTTGTGGAATCATTCATGCACTGTCGTGGCGTTAGGACGAGACAACCTTATGTCTTTGGTCTGGTACACAGACGTCCATGGCCGATCATTAACTTAAGATTCACATTTATTTGTTTTGATTATTTCTCTATTTACACGTTAGCCTAATACCCGGTCGTGTGTGTTCATGGCACACCCGTTGGTTACACCCCTTAATGTCTGCAATAAAACAATTTTGAAAGTTTCACTATGGCCTTGAACGTTTTGGCGTATGAAGCTTTTTAAAATATTCGTCGAATAAACATTCGGTCTGAAATATAGTGATAGAAAAATAGACAGATTTTTTTTATGCACCGATTGTCTTTAAATGTAATATCCAGTTATGTATGACTGTTTACTAATCTCATACCAACTCTGACTGGAGTAGGTCCAATAGTTT